CAGCTGTGTCGGACTGCTCAGACCCGGTCAAGTGTAGCAGCTGGGTGTGGGGGACGATTGGTACCTGATTTGATTTTTTGCGTTTGTTGAGCAAGTGGCAAGACTTGCGACACCTAGACTTTGCCTGCCGGACTATCATTTCTGCCTCAAGACGCATGGAATTGCGAGCTGGCCAGAAGGTTTGACAATCGAATGCCACTAGCAACTTGCTACCTGCTCACTGGTTCTATGGTATAGTTCAGCTTTTGTACAGAGCCTCTATCCCTAGCATTTCCTACAACACATAGACCTGACATGTCAGGCGCCAACAGCTCAAAAGATCATGTTTTCACCGTGTTGTATCACATGTTTGCGACTCTTGCCTATTATCATATGCGCACGTATCTTGACACCAATAACAATATCAATCCAGCAATTTCGTTCAGAGTGTCCAAGCATCCTGGGTTGGACTCATTTTGCATTGTTCGGCATTTGCATTGTTGGACAGTGCCCGTGGGCCAAGCCGCCGCCCTATGTACCGACCATTCAAACCAACTGAACGCATATTTTGCCCTATGGATCCGGCCTCTGTACGGCACCAGCACCTCTTGGCTGGGGCCCGACAAGTAGCGGTGGTCTGCGCCCGGCGAAGTCCGACTCCGAGACCTCTTCCCTCCAGTAACCTGTCCGGATCATCACCTCTTCCGCATGTTCATCAGACCAGTCCAGCCAACGTAGCCGCTGCCGCTGCAGGAGACGGTCCGACGCAATCGCGGGCTTTTGAAAACTATGCAGTAGTATAAGGTGTCAGTGAACTGAGGGCAAACATGTTTCTATGGCAGGGACTTGCATTCTACCAAGCTGCCTTAGCACAGGGTGTTGAATGGTATTGTCCAGCGGCGCGACAAATTCGCCGGCGCATAATGCCTCAGCCATCAGGTTAGTGCCTGATTCTCTCCCCCTGAGCATCTGACCCCCACAAGTTTTAAGACTAAACAGAACTTTTGAAAAGCGACGAAGCTGATGAAGTCAATGACTGCCAGCAGCCAAGCAACAGGAACCTGAGTTCGTGCGCTCCTCCATGGTCCATTGACAAGCGCCCCAGAATAAGCAGGCGCCTGAGTGGCTAAATTGTTGCGCAACTTTACTTTAGATGGCTCGTCTGTTGGTTCAAATTGAAGCATGGCAATAAACGCCATAAATTGACTTTGTAGACCTGTCACATCAAAAACATAAACTCTAAAGTGCGGCTTTCAAAAATAGACACTGATGGTTCTGAAAGATACTAAAGCAGCGAAGGTTCATGCCGGCATAGTCATGAATCGCTGGGCCTGCTCCTCGCCAATGTGCACATTGCACGCTGCAACCTATTGCCTGCAAACTGACGCAGTCAGCTCCACGAGGCACACATGTTGGCCTGGCAAAGTGTCTGGCTCTGTCCATGCGACTCTGATAAGAAAGGGCCCATGTGCAAAACCCGTGTTGTCCGAGCTAAGTTAGTTTTCATCTATTTATTTTCAATTCTTTTCATTCGTTTGTTAGTTGGGTCATTCTTGGACTTGTTTTTACCGCCTACGTCATTCATCCCAGGACCTGAAGAAGCACCTGAAGAAGGTTCCTTAAAACCTGACGGACAGAGCACGCTGTGCCTCAGGTGTCGGACTTTGGACTATATAGACTATGTCAGTCGGACGTTGGTTGGTCTACTCCAGCACAAGGGCGGACTGGAGCCAAGTCTCCCACGGAAATGAAACCACACAGGTGTGCATGGCATGGAAAAGGTCAGCGCCACTTCAGACAGGGACAGTTGGAGGTTGCAACATTTTATACCCTCCAAAACTTGTAGGCGAAAAATGATACTCAGGGATTGCAGGCACACATAATGGTAATATTGCGTTTCCCACTTTGATTTTGCTTTCCTCAGTAAGTACGTCACAGTGCATCATATTCCTGGTGCATGGTAGGACGGGAAAGCCATACAAATGTGTGCGTGACCTTCACTATCCTTTGCATATCCCCCTGTCTCTGTACAGTTTTTGTTTGCTCGCTAAAACAACTTCATTCTTGGCAGGATCATATTTCGACAAAGCCCGGCTATCAATCGAGTTTGATTTGCGCAATTTGGGCACATTCATTGCCATTTGATGCAGGATACTTGTTTGCTTTCGTTATTATTATTGGAAAAATATAGCTCTGCTAACTGTACTAATGTTACACGCTCGCGTTTGGGGTCAAACTTTCCTGGATTCCATGCTCTTCCCTGGTCCATGCCCTTCCCTGGTAATCGTGCCGCCTGATCAGAAGCCGAATACACACCGTCAGTAGCTCCAGAAGCTCCAGCAGATCCCCAACCAAGCACTGGAACTAATGCTCCTGAAGTACCTGAAAACATCCCAGCGCCTTCCGATGATGATGACGAACTATTTGGGGAGTGTTTGTGTTCGAAGAAGAGCAAGGATGGAAGATGGAAATTGAACTGAGTCAAAATGACATCAACATGTTGAGACAAGATCCGAATCCATGCGAATGTGCTTTCCTCGTTTCTGCTGCCAAGAAACAGAAAATGGAAGTGAAACTGTCAACATTAAGCCCCTTGGAAAGAAAACTTTTTGATGATGCCAAGGAAAAGGAATTGCAAAGCTGGATGGACACACAAACAATTTGCCGCATCCTTCGCCATCAGATCCCTGAGAAGAATGTTTTGAGATGCCGTTGGATCCTCACTTGGAAGGACGCCGAGAATAATACCATCTAAATACTGACGGAAAACATTCCGAAAACAGAAAGGCCAAGGCCCGGTTGGTCATCCTTGGATACCAAGACCCAGAGTTAAGCAGCTTGGAAAGGGACAGTCCAACGTTGTCAAAATTGTCACGAAATCTCCTGTTGCAGACGTGTGTGACCAACCGATGGGAAATCGGAAGTTTTGATATCAAAACTGCGTTTCTCAGGGGACGAGCCGATTCCAGACTGTTAGGCCTCGAGCCTCCTCCAGAACTTCGTGCCAAGTTAGGACTTCGTCCTAACGAGATTTGCCGACTGCTCAAGGGTGCCTACGGCTTAGTCAACGCTCCCCTGCTTTGGTTTAGGGAGTTGTCCAAAGCCCTGGAAAGCCTCGGGTTCGTAGCCGCACCTTTCGACCCATGTTGTTTTGTGTTGTTTGATGACAATCACAAAGCTCGAGGATTCATAGGTGTTCATGTGGATGATGGACTATTTGCAGGAGAGACGGAATTCCATCAGAAGATCAATCACCTTGAAAAGATCTTCCCTTTTGGAAGCAGAAAACCCAGAAACTTTGTGTTCACTGGTCTACAAATCCACCAGTATGATGATTTTTCAATCACGGTAGACCAAACTCAGTATGTCAAAGACATCAATCCAATAAGCATTCACAAAGACCGACGCAAACTAGTGGATGCCCCCATAAATGAAGAAGAACGCCAAGCCCTTAGAGGCCTCGTTGGAAGTTTACAGTACGCTTCGGTAAACACCCGACCAGATTTAGGAAGTAGGCTCAGCTTTCTCCAAGGAAAGATCAACAATGGCCAGGTCGGAGATCTCATTGAAGGAAACAAGCTACTCCATGATGCCAAGGTAAATGCAGAGGTTAGATGCCGATATCAGCACATCCCGAAAGATGAAGTTCGATTCGTAGCTTTCTCAGATGCTTCGTTCGCTTCCGAAAGAAATCAATCGTCACACCAAGGACTAATGATCATGACGGCACATAGTGATATTGGTCAAAACCGCAAGAGCGTAGTGAACCCGATAGTTTGGTCGTCAAAGAAGATTCAACGAGTTGCTGTGAGCACCCTGTCAGCTGAAGCCATGGCTCTTGCAGGAGCAATGGACATCTTAGCATGGTGTAGGCTGTGCTGGGGATGGCTCCTTGACAGGAGTTGTCAGTGGCGCCTTGGAGATGCCACATTGCGAAAACTGCCCCCAGCTTTTTCAGCCCTTAAAGATGACCCACAGCTTGAAGACCCAAATGCCGATCTTCACGAGAACTTGTTGAAATTACAAAAGATAGGACAACAAGATTCGTTAATAGCCACCGACTGTAAAAGTCTGTATGACCTGATCAGCCGCACTGCACCACCAGCATGTCAGGAGTTTAGGACATTGCTGCAGGCCAGACTGATAAAGGAGCACCTTTCCACCGGTGTATCCGTAAGATGGGTTCCATCAAATGCCCAGGTTGCTGATTGCCTCACTAAGATCATGGACACAACCTCGCTCCGTGAAGTCCTGCGTTTTGGACGATACCAGCTCAATGACGAGGATGAAATCCTGAAGAACGGGTCAGATCGTAAATCCAGGTCAAAATGGATCCGCAGCCACGATACCGCCCCATGTTTATAGTCACAGAAGCAGCGTTTTTGGCTTACGTCTCAGGTCTTTGTCCAGCAGGCCTGAACCTTGTTCATTATTCTAGCTTTCGCGCAGTCTTTCTTATGGCTGCTTCAACCTTACAGCCATGTTTCATTCCTTGCGCACACCAGCAATCCCACAACACAACAGCCACAAATCCAATCACTGCAGCAAAGTCAAGCTAAAATGTCAAATATAGCTTGAGACACATGGCAAATCCAGTATGCCAATAGCTAATATGCCATGTTTCTAAGTTAAGTTAATGAGCAATTCCAGCCACAATGGCACATGGCTGGAAGAACTTGGACTTGCTTGCTGAGGGAAGCCGATAAAAAAGAGACTCTTCAGGGGCGCAGGGGATGAAAAAACATGAAAAAAACATCCATCACCCGAAGCAAAACCCAGCCCCGACGTCCGGAAGACACTCCTCCTTTCGCTCACCAAGACGGAAGAAAACACCGGCGGACGACGCCGCGCCGTCCGCGCCGACGAACGAACGGATCTGTTTGGGATGAAGGGGCTCTCGAACGAAGGCGCGTAGGACGTGTCGATCTGTCGACCCGAAGGACTCTGGAAGACGACGTCTGGGGTATTCCTCCCTTATAGAGGAGATCCTGGATCTTGAAACACTGGATTTCAAGCCCTGCCTACGGACCAGTAGCCATTCTTGTCCAGGTCGAGCTTCTGTGGGAACATGGACAAGGTCAATAGAGGATAGACACAATCCTCAGATCACAACCGAAAACTGACGCCTGAAAGTTTTCAGCCTGAAAGTGTGGCAAAAGGGTCTTTCTTCCACCGGTGCATGTGAGGGAGATTGGAAGGTTAGACACACACACACAATGAGATACAATGAGAGGACCTGCACCGCCCCGAACCAGTTGGTCTTCGTGTTGCCTGAAGCTCAAAGGTGTTGGTTGGTGTTTGCCTACTTTGCTACTTCATGCCAGGCATATCCGCATATTGCGATCCTGTTCGCCTGCTGTGCGATCATCTTTGTGTTTCACACGGACGCCTCGGCATGACAAGAGTCAGGCAGCCTGTCAAGTTGCTTTTGAACATTGTTATTGATGGTAATTGCATACCCCAGACACTCCATGTATGCCATATATGCCTACATTGACCCCTCAAACCACCACAATGTAGGCATATATGGCAGTCCCATGTAGACGGCTCTGTGCGCTGTGGCAGCAACTCAAACATTCAGAGAACTCACCCTGTCACCGAACCGAACCTGCTCGTGGGTCGGATTTTCACCCTGCATCCAGGTCGGCGTCGTTTCGATGGACCGGACCGGACCGTGGGACGGGCCAAAGATCCGGAGCTCCGCCCCCCAACACCAAGAACCTCCGACCCCAAGCTCTCAGGTCATCCAGGTCCCGATCCAGGTCCGAATCCGAGACTCAAAGCCGCTAATCTCCACATCTGGTGGATATAACACGCTGAAGAGTTCGGGACGACTCCCAGCTCTCCTGGCGAGACTAAAACCCCGAGGCTTCGGAGATGCGGCTTCGGCTGCGGAGATGCCAGGTCCGGATCCACCAATCCTCGAAGGTGGGGGCACCTTCTAAGGCCGGCCTCGCATGGTCTACCCAGCTTAGCATCGGAACCGACCACTTCTGGAGAAACGAGAAACTGCCTCTCTGCACCCAGAGCTTCAGTTTCTACGTCTTACGTCTTACCCTAAGCATCGGACCCGAACGACTTCGGGGTTTGGGCCCGAAATTCGGGGGGCTGGACCCGAAAAAACACCGGCTGAGGGTCATTCTTAGGGTCATCCTTCTTCCTCTGCTGCTTCTTCTTCTTCTTAACTGACTTCTTCTTCTTCTCCTTCTTCTTCTTCTTCTTCTTGACCATGAAGATGGATCGGGTTCTGGTCAAAAGCCAGTACCCGAAGGCGGCGAAGGCGGCTATTGGCTATTGGGCTTTCTTAGCCCCACAAAAGCCCTCTGGGTGTATGAGAGGGGGAAGGGATGGATCGCGGGCGAAAAGACCACTGGCCTCGGGTAGACCCCGAGGACTACTACCCCATCATAAATAAACCAGTCATCCTTCAGCCTGCTTTTGATGCAGTTCGTTCTTGCAATCTTCCCATCCGCGAGCTTTGCGTTGTTAGGCCAAGGCTCCAGCAGGCGCCACCAAACAAGGCCTGTCCAATTTCACCATATGTATTTAGGGCCACTTGATCGATCTTAAAAGCGATTGCCAGTTGTAGAGCAACGTTCAGAAGCAAGAAAAGACCTCGATAGCGCAGCACGAAGTCCTACCTGTCGCTTGCCGTCTCTTGGAAGTAGGGTGCTACCGCTACCCTCACACCGTGTTCAAATATCTGTAAAACAAAAAAGGCTCATCCAAAAACCGGTGGTCAGGGATCTCTTCATGCAGCTTCATCCGGTTACGGCACGGTATGGCACAGTCCATCGGTGTGGGGGAAAAAACATCGATCAGAACAAGCATTAGCATGGATTCGCTGTCCAGAACCAGGACTGCGGGGGCAGTGGACTGGGGCCCTGCACTCCGGCTCGCGAGCCAAAACCCGTTCCTACTTCCAAACCTCTTAAACTGCAGATCACACTTCGGGCACGAGTGTCACGGAGCTAAAGGCGATTGAAATCGCCTCATTGGAGTTCTGGAGCTTTCGGTGCTCTTTTTCAAGCGGTCCCAGGAGCAAAGTGCAAGCGTGCTGATTGAAGCAGTCAATCCCAAGCTCTTGTGTGTCGAGGGCATCCGAACCGACAGCACCGGTCCCCAGGCCACGACATGGTCAAGCCCAAGCGAAAAAAAATGGAAACCCTATATATACAGTAGGCTGTAATGACCGGTCCATGTTGAGATAGAAGCAAAATGAAGCAAATGTCAAATTCGGTGTTATAATTTGGGTATAACTGTATAACTGTATAACGGTATGACCATTTATATCAATAGCAGTGGATGATGATGGTTTAGTATGGAATAGGTTGCACGGCTTTACTCAAAAATCGTGATCTTACCGACTCGTAGAGACTCTCGACTCGGTCGAGGATTCCCTCCCTCTTCGAGGATTCCGGGACCCTCTTCGCACGGTGGCTGGTGTAGCCTAGGCACTCACCATGGTGTAGTCCGAACAACGTGGAGTGGATTCTTTGTCCTTCTCAACACGTTCCAATCGGTAGAACATCGGCGCCCACAAGGCATCCTGGCCGGATGAAAGACCAACGTCGGCGAAAGGAAAAGATCACCCAGCTCCAGACCAACAGAAGTTGGTCTGAACCCTCTATAGACTCTCCCATAGGTAATTACCCAGGTGAATGACGCGTCCTATTTACGTCTCTTCTCTCTTGGTAGGTGCTCCTCCGGCACCTTCCGCTTCGAACCCTGTGAACGTAGACCAGTCCGACACACGCCATTGAGAGGAGATGGCACTCCGGCGCCGAAGTCCGGTAGCTTCTAGAACTGCTGTTTGTAGACTCTTGATTCGTAAACCCACCGGATTGAAAAACCTCTTCCTAGGGGGGAGGTTATTAAGTGTCTACATGAGCGACGGCAGCCATGGGCCAGGGCAGCCATGGGTCCAAAACCCGGCCATGGAGGTTTTCATGCAAAGGCATGCGGGGTTCCACCGCGGACTGTGCCCATCTGCCCATCTTGACCAGTCCGTTTCCTGAAGTCTGAGTCTGAGAATGATCGCTTCAATGGGGTAAACCGTGACACCTCTGCGTTGTGCCTTCGACACGCCGCAACTTCGGCGACGTGGAGACTCCACCGAAGGGCTCTGCTACGGGTGGCTCCCAGAGATCAGTATCCCTAGGGCTCCTGGCCCACCTCCTGAGAAGATGGTTGGGGTGGGTTTGGGGGGTCTAACCACTCCTAGATATCTCTTGGAAGGCTATTTACAGACACCTCTTGGAAGGTCCTGGTAGATAATATATGGTGGAACTCTCCCAGTCCCCATGATGTTCACGTGGAGATGTCAGACACACCTCGACATGGTCGCTTGGCTTTTGGATAGAAGAAGGTCCCAATCAATTGGAAATCCGTCAAGCCTATCCTTCCCATCCCCATGGATCCACCACCTATGAAACCCCGCCGGGTAATGTCGTCTTCGAGCCTGTTTCTGGTCGAGGGTCCAGTTGTACATCGGGTGGATTTCTCGGGTTCAGAATCTGAACAGTAAGATTGCTCGGATGTCATCTTATTACGCTCAAGAGAAGCGGACTCGCCCGAACTCTGTGAGGGCGAAGACAGCTCGATAAGCGGACGCCGGTATATATATATATATATATATATAACTTGTTCTTAGTGTGTGAGCTCCTGCTTGGGGACCTTAGGTTGTTTATTCTCTGAGTTGGTGCATCCGCACGGGGGGATTGGTGTCTCTGGGTCTCCTGGTAGATGTCCGCGTCGGCGGGATCCACCTCGTGCGTGCCCCAAGAACTGTCATCCAAGCTGTCGCTGTCGCTGTCCACATCGACCAGTTGACTTTCCTATCGCAGGGATTCCGGAGACCAAGGGCACACCACCGACATCTCACGATGAAAGCGGAAGGGGATGCTTTCATGGCTCTTCGAAAAATGCTCCCATCTCTCTCCTGGGTGCACACGTTCTGGCAAGTTCTATAGAATGGGGAAACATCATGTCAGAAGCAATCTCTTAGGGATGAGGCTGACTCAGAAGCTTGTGTTCCAAGGTGAAGGGCACAAGAAAGTGGACAGAATCATCTACACAGGCATGCTAAAGGTAATTTTGCATGCATCCGAGCGCAGCTGCCATAGATTTGGGTTCAGTTCTGATCCTCAGCCAACTGACCAGGTCACAAAGAAACGTCTAAACAACTGGAGGGAGCGTCCTCCGAGTCCTCCATCAGAGCTTTGGCATCGGGCGCGCGCCCTAAGGCGCGCTTCCACCGCTTCACAATACGGCGGAACATCTGGCGCCACCGGCTGTTGCCTGCTGTGGATGCTGGATGGCTGCGAGGTCTTCGGTCTGCTGATTGCGGCCTTTGAGTGGATGTGCTGGAGAGAACAGTCTACCTGAGACCCCCCCCCTAATAAAGCGGAAATAGACCAGTCTACGCAGCCAGGAGCAAAAAGGACGGACTCTTGGGTCAATCAAAAGACCAGAGGTGGGTCAGTCATGACCCGAACGTTCGATCTATCCCAGTTCGGTACCACCCTAGGGCTCCGAACGTCCCATATCCTCAGGTTCGGTGGTTAGACCCCCCTGGCACCCACCCCAACCATCTTCTCAGGAGGTGGTTGGAGCCCTAGGGCCAAAATCTTCGGCCGTCGCTCGATCCGTCGCGAGCGATAAGTGTACCGTACGCGCGGACGCCTCCCGGTCGGAGGGTGCCCGGTATCGGACGGCGGTGGAGGCGGTTGGTTCATATGCGGTCCGTGCGAGCTCGCTTTCATGGAGCGATTCTTGAAAGAAAGAGGAGAGAGAAAGAGAAAGAGAAAGAGAAAGAGAAAGAGAAAGAAAGATAGAGAGAGAGAATGAAGGTCTGTCAACCGTCGACTCTAAATGGCTTGAGTTACGCGTTCTCCCTTTGAAAAGAACACAGCAGGGACACGGGAGGGTCGGAGAGGAAGATGATCAAAAAAATGAACTAAAGCAGCCAAAAGGAAGTCTGAGTTCGTGTCAACCTATGTTCTGATTCAAAAAGAAAATCCAGCAGGTATCATCACCTACACTCTGACTATCATGTAGAATAATCCCATCACCTACACTCCTACGCATCAACATGGAAAGGGAAACTGACCTCTGGGAATGCTTACTTTCATCTACAAACAGAGGATGTTCCACACCCACGTTCTTGAGTGAATTGGAAGGTACAGTACCAATGCTGTGCGTTGAAGGAACAGCTACGTCTCACAAGCTGAGAAAAAAGCAACGCGAGCTGTCCGCTTTTCCAGCACGAGTCATCTGAACCACTTTGAAACAAAAGCCTAGGCTCAATTGGAGTAGGCTGGCAAAATACGGTGAAACGTTCCGGGCATAAAGCTGGAAACCACTGGAAACTTGTGCCATGTGGAGGGTATGTCTGATACTCCTCATGAGTGACTGGGCACAAATGGATCCTCTTGACACACCCACCAACTCCTCAGGTATTCTTCGGCTGTGGCTTCAATGGGTCAATCTCTGCACCAAACAGTTTCCTATCTTGTCATGTTTCTATCCGCTTCACTTCACTGAAGCCGCCATCCACTTCTGACCACCCAGTTTCGGCGGATCAGGACGTTGACACGAAGGAACTGGCATAGCAATCACCCGCAAAGTGGCAGAGGCATTCCATCCCCGTGCCAATGGCCGCCAGGCCTCTGCGATTGAAGTAGGACCAACCGGTCCATCCGGCCGTGGTGAACCTGGTCCGCTGCGTCTGCGCGAAGCGAACCCCCGAGGAGCTCGGGCGTCGAACTCACTCACCCTGATTCAGTTCGGTGGTGGGTGGGCGAAACGTTTGGGCTTCGGTGCGACCGAACAAACACACGCCGAGATGTGTTGAATGGTGCAGGCCCTGAACCAGGGGCCTTCCTGTTCGAAAATGGACTCAAAAACCACTGCTGGTCATCTACTGCATCAGGTCCCTGCTGCAGGAACCGTTCATATCCGTTCCGAGCCCGACCCATGTCTTGACGAGCAGAAGGCCATTGGTCTACCCATTGATCGACTGAATCCAAAGCGACTGAATCGAAGGGAGGGGCAACTGCAAACCTGGTAAAAAGATTCTTGAGCTGCTCTGTTCAGGTAAGTTGTAGTGGTAGTGGAGGAGAATATTAGTGGCAATGACATTGTACCACAATTATTGACAACTTTACTGTAGCTGCATCTCGTTGGAGGCAGCAAGGCTCTTCCGCATCAATTGTCTTGTATACATTCGCATTCGGTACACCAAAAAGCTTTACGACTTCCTATGCATTTTTTAGGTCCAAGGTAACGCTCGACTCTTCTTTCTTCGTATCGATTTGACGGACGTGAAAAAACTCTCCACCATGGAGCAATGCCACGGCCAAGAACAGATAAGGCTGCCAGGTTCCAGAGGAACTGGAGGGAACTTTGATCGCATCACACTGGTCCGTCACATGCTTCTCAAAGTTCTCCCCCAGGAAGGACGCGTGGATCATGTTGTCGACTTCAATCAAGAAGCACAAAGCCTAGATCAGTGATTCAGGAACACAAGTTGCAAAAATCCGATCAATACATATGAAATCATATGAATACACATGCGGTTCATGCAAACAAGGCAAACATTTCTTTAGCTTGGGCTTCTATAGTGAAAACATGAAAACACCTTTTCCAAGTACAGGACCTTTGCGCCCCAACAAGCCTCTAAGGTCTTCTTCGAAGTGTGCCAACATGTGCCTTTGGTGAACGGTTAGACTCCATCCATGACACCTTCCTTTGTCTCCACCGGAACATGTTGTTACGGAGAAAAACACAAAGGCGCGTTCGGAGCTGCCAAGCGACTGTACTGTTCAACACCTCAGTTTGTTAGGCAAAAAGGCACCAACAGGTACAGCTGTAAGTTTGTTTGCTCAGAGACAGTTTTCCGTGGGTATCCAAGTCGGGGTCGGGGTTTGCATCCAAGGCTAGCTAACCAACTTTCAATCCTCCTTACTCCTTGCAATGATCTGACACCGAGGCACAACTTGGTTGGTCACCAATGCAGGAACTAGCTAACCAACTACTAGTGCTTAGGCGACTGCTAGCCCGCGGTTTTCTTCGCAAAGACCACGAATTCTTCCTCTTCCTGTTCGGTCCTCCTGAACCGAGCTAAAGCTTCAACAACATGAACGGTCGTGTATACGGTCTGATGTGTATACGGTCTGATGTTGCCAAGACAAGTCCAACGAGGAAGGCACTCCAGCTGCGAACAAGGAATCCAATAGGTCCAGGTGTTCAGAACAGGCACTCCAACCCGCACAACGTTCACTCCGCCCAGTCCACCCCCGCGGCGCGCGGGGGAGGGTGCAAGGTTGACGGGCGACTGGGCTACTGGGTGTTGGCATTGTACGGTTTGATTGCCTTTCTCAAAAGCCTGCAGACACCGGGAAACTGAACATGGAACCTGATGGCATGGACCATTGGCGTGTGTAATAGGGAGGCGGCCCAACCAATTGGTTTTTCCTCATTGTCCTCTTTGGGAGGTCTCCCTATCTTAATGCACGCCCATTTGGAAGACAATATTCCTCTACAACCCAGAGGTTGTCAGGTTCCATGTGGACGCTCTCACCTGAGTTTCTGAAGGAACGCAGCAAAAAAGGTCAGAGCGCAGCGCTCGTGTGCGCTGCGCGCTCCTGCGCTCGTTCGCGCGGTGCGAGCTATTCCAGCCACCTTCTTCCTTCCGAGAGACCAGGTCCTGCAAGTTGTTAGTGGCGCTCAAGAAGCTTGCACCCACGGTCCTAGGCCAGGGTTCAAGCCAAACCCCTCCACTCACATGGAATCGATGGCAAACTGCCCCGAGCATCTATCGAAAACCAAACAAGGGGTGAACTCCACTTCCATGGTAGTTGCGGGGAGTGGCATTAAGCCCCAGGATCCTCTTTTTTTTCCAACTATATAAGTGGAGCCAAAGTAGAGCAAATCCGACCAGAAATCGACCTATTGGGCTCTCTGGCTGCCGGTATGATCGATCTGTCAGATGAGGAGAATGTGGAGCTAGAAGCAGTGGACGATCCAAACAAGAAACCCATGGTCCTCTTTTTGAAAAGTGTATCAATCGACCTCTGATCTAGGATGATGAGAGTAATAGCAGAAACATGTAAATGCAATCATCTGAGGAGTCTTTGTGCAGTGTATCTCCGATGATCTGGGACAAATGAAAGATGGTCAGACGAGCGGCGCTTCTTGATCTGTCAAATACGCAGGGAAGAAGAACCACAAGGCATGACTGGCCCCAATCTCAATATGTCTTTGCAGCTACTTGGATCTCCCGATGTGACGATGTGGGTTGAATGGTTATACAGTTATACATGACCACACCTGACTGTAGACATCCATGAGGTGGGGATACTACTGAACTATAGTCTATGGCTTCTGAACTCAACTGCAATGTTCAGGAAAGGCACTGAAATCATGATGACCTAGAACTCGTGTAATTAGGTGCATACCTTGAACCACGAACGAAAAGGCTTTTACTCTGAGGATCAAAATGACCACTGCGATCACAAGCCTTGGAAGAGCCACGCAGACTAAGCCAAAGATCTTGTGCATACCTTGCGGTGCAGAGCCACTCGGGGACCGGGACGGGAAACACATCTGGAAGAGCCACCCGGGGTGCCGTGAGCTGGTGAGCGGCTTTTCCTGGTCAACACGGACACACCCACGGTCCAACGAAAGCGAGGTACGTGCCCCTGGCCGGTGAACCGCCATGACCGGTCATCCCTTTTCGTCAAGAGCCTGGAACACTCAGACCCCGAAGTATTGGATTTGGGGACCTGACATCTTGAAAGGGTTCATGTGTCCCTAGGGCTGGCAAGTTCCTTCGTTTCGAAATGCTTCGAAGGTGGGACTGGGGTTTAGAGGGTCCAGTCATACCTTCAGAGGTGCCTGGAGCCGGTGTATTTTTAAGAGGGAGACCCTCTGGCCCTTGGTTCTGGCCCTGAGGTAGCCTGGTGAATTTCCCGAACAACCAGGTGGTCGGGAACGGCAGTCTGTCTCCCTGTTTGAGCTGGGCCGGGGTGATGGTCGGACAGCGTGACTGGTCACTTGGACATCAAAGTCTTCCAAAGAGTCTTGGAGGTGAGTATTGGAGGTCTTGGTACTTTGAAAGTGGCGGTCACTTATTGGTAATTGATTTGTTGATCTACATCCATCAGAGATCACCCTGAGAAACCTTACTTCCCCCGAGTCAAGATCGCGGGGTAGGTTCGGTGCCCACCGCGCTGTTTACCGGTCCGCGCTCGGGTCCGTGGCCGCACCCGGTCCCTGCGCGTCCTCTTCGACCCGAATTTCGCAGGGGCCAAACCCTCCAGAAGCGGTTGGTTCCAAGGATTCTTAGGAAAACAGGTTTGGGTCACTCCGGTGTCTCCCGGTCCTCGGGTCGCCTTCGTGTGTCCGATCCGCCTCCCGTGGCTTCTTTAGCGGGACGAACGAAGGCGCGAGGACCGAGGACCGCTCCGAGCGAGACCGACTTGCACCCCGTGACTTGGCATCTTCCTCACCAGGATCTTTCCATCCACCTGAAACGGACGATGACGGAGAGTTGCTGACATTTCTGGCGCAAACAAACAGCACGAGGACGGAATCGACTTTTTGTTTCTGTTCCGGTTGATGTCCAACATCTTCGAAATTGACCACTAATGAATGTTGACCCAAAGCTTTGAAGTCCACATAGATGTTTGCTTTTCGAAGTCCCTTGGTTGCCTGTTCTGTTGCTGGTCTCTGGATCCACTGGAAGCCTTTTGGTCTGTCAAGAATGGGTCGTGTACTCTTCAACTTCAAAGCTAGAGAAAGTCGATGTTCCGCAAATGTCAACTGGGCATAGAGTACTTCTGATGAGAAAACTGTAGGAACAAAATGCTTCTTCCTTTCAAACGGAGGACATCCTGTACGTCTTTCAACATCCGACAGGAATCTTGCATGGATAAAGTCGTGCCAGACCCCCAACGATTCCAAGAAGGGAGCAGGAGAACAGGGTTGAAAGGTGCCTGGCAAAGCAGAATGGCCCTTGTAACCAGCAAATGTACTTCTCTGACTGTGAGAACAGTGAGAACATCTGATTGTATTGTTTCTTTGGGGTTTGATCACCAGGCATACCTGGTCAGCATTATGAGAGGAGGATCTACAGTCCCCCAAACAAAAGGTCCTGCCCCCATGAGGCTTCAACGGATCTTTTCGTGTCTCTTTCAATTTGGAAACCTCTCAACCAGACCGCTGATATGCAGAAAATAGACCAATAAAATATTGATGCACAATTGAATGAAGAAAGCAAAACCCAAGATTCCACCGAGTTCGGTTGCAACAGGGCACCACAATGGGGAACCAATGGTAACCTGCAGGATCCGGTATGGATCCCTAATATCTGGGTAAGTATTTCACCAAGCCTGGTCTCTTTAGTCTTCCGCGCTTGCCACACCTAAGCAGGTAAGTGGGTGTCTCCTTTCGTCTTCCGAGTTTACGAGTCGGGTCTGACAGTCAGACCCGAGGAATTGACCTGGCCGAGGTCGGAAAACCTCACCTGGCCTGCCAGGGACCCGAACCAAATACCGCCTCCTTTTTTGAGTCTTAGAGGTTGTATGGCAGTCTAAGGAGTGTCCAAAAACCTGAGAACTGGGGGAGTCCTGGTGAAGGCACAGGGCTACCGCAGTCGTTTGGTCTCGGCTACGGCCCTTCAAGATGCAGTTTTCCCCACGGCGAAATGTGAGCAAAGGCGACGCCCAAGGTACCACAGAGGCAAAGTTCTCGTCATCATCGGTGGTGCTGGGCATGTACCAAACCACGTACATGAAATTGTAGATATATAGAAACCTGGCGGGTCCGGTCAGTGTTTCTTTCCCATGTTCTCAATATGTGAATCCATGGTCATGTTGAGGTCTTTTTGCGCGCGTCTCTCTTACGGCTCTTCCCCTAAAAGACCGTCCAAGTCATGTCCAAACAACCAACCACATGGGTCTGGGTCGTCATGTCGTAACTGGGTTTCCTCACTCTTTGATCATCAGCATGCCCCAAATGAAGAGCAGCAAGACCAGGAATGACACGAAGGTCGTCCCCAGGATCGAATCCGGCTCCCCCTTGTAGGTACTCACGGCTTCCTGTGGTCCGGAAGAAGCGGGGAACCATCGGGTGGTCTGTGGACATCCACCCGATGAAGAAAGCCGGTTTGCGAAGCAAACAATGTCGAGTCGACACATGAAAAAGACCAAACCTTTTTGAAGCTGCAAAACGAAAGCCAGCGTTTTTACTTTCGAGTGTAATATTCCAGGGCTGGTTTTCGTCATATTCCAGTGCTGGTGAAATACCAGATGAAGCACTGAGCAAGACCATATATACCCACTGAGCAAACCAGGGCCCCTGAAGAGGTGGTTGATGGAGACTCTGAGACACCTGTAAGAGGCTATTTAGAGACACCTCTCGGGGGGGTGGTACAAAACATCTGCGGAGAAGACCTCACTCAACACAAAAAGGTCGGATGCCGCTTCGCCGAGGCGTCGTAGACCGCCACATTGATGCCGCTCTTCCGTTCGAACTTGCTGTGACCACAGAGCTCGGAGGTCGCATAGTGAATCCACCTGTTTTTTTATTTCGATTTCGGCCATGGATGTCTGTTGATTTGATGTGAACAATAACTTAATGCTTCTAAACAAAATTGAGATGTCCCTGAGTCCCAGAGATGTCAGGGGGGTTGTTCCACCATGCAGGCCACTGCGCCACCAGCACAGGGGCAGTCCATCGGGAGAGGATCAGGGAATATCAGGAAGAGGACGCCATGAAAAGTCATGACAAAGGACATAGACTGAGTCTCTAACTTTCGTGGCTGATTCGTGTTTGTGCTTTCCAACGACCACAATGAGCAAAAGGGATCTAGAAGCCAGACCACATGGACCTGTGGTGGCAGTGGTCTTGGTGGCTTTTCATTGACCCTCAGAATCATGGACCCGAAGAATCCGGGGGTTAGGTTTGGTTCGGGTCCAACCCCCTGCGAATTTGGGTCAACACCCTCCAGAAGCGGTTGGTTCCAAGGATTCTTAGGGTAGATTGCTTTTCGTCCAGTTGATTCTGGCCCAGCCACTCATAGTCGTTACCAAAGAGCTTCGTGCAGAAGGAGCCGAAGTTTTCGCGACACTCCTCGAATCGGACGCGTTGGCGGCGCCGCCGGCGCCGCTATACGAAGTCGTCTGAGCGGGCGGCAAATCGGTGGCTGGGAAGAGCCAGAGTCAAAGGCGGCAAATCGTGGAATGGATGGGGGAATCCATTGGACCTGGCAGCAGAGGGTGCTTCTGCCCAGCCAAGTGACTTATAAGTCTCAGGTCTTCTCTAAAAACTCTTGCGACAGCTGCGTGACCTGTTGTTTCCATAGTGTTTCCATTGCTGGAGGCGCTGCGATTTTGGGCACGCGTGGGAGATGGGCTGAACCTGAAAAAAGAAACCCCAAAGCCAAAGCCTAGGGTTGACCGAAGAACATCCTCAGAAAACCAAAAAGAACCTGCCGAGACCGCAGAGGCGAGAATTCCCCTGTAAAAAAAAGAGAAGACCACATAAGACAACAAGTCCTCCACCTGGCACCTGGTTCCTACACCATCTCTATCCATCCATCTCTCACCCAGGTCCTCCACACGTTCTTGTCCATCATCCCGCTCAGGCAGCATCTTGGCCAACTTCCCGTCAGCCTCCAGGTTACCGCAGAGCTTCGGGTCAACTGGCAGACACATCTCGATCTTCCCTCGAAAGTGTTGGAAGAAATCCATGTCCTCAGGAGGAAAGAAGCGAACGTAGAAACAAGTGCATCGCTACGTTCGTAGCAAGTGCCTTACTAGTAGTAACAAGAAGCTTCTAGTAACAAGTGCCTCGCTAGTAGTAACAGGTGCCTTACTAGTAGTAACAAGAAGCTATCACTGGAGTCACGAAACGCTCCGGGTGCCCGGACGATAGGGTCCCCCATGGTGCCCCATGATCCGTGAAACGCCCCGATCGGATGGGAGTACCAACTCCGAGAACATTGAGCGTCATGTGTCACTCGATCCCGCAAAAGGAACTCTTTGACCAGAAAGGTCAACCTAACAACCTGGGGATGCTCTGTTTTCGGGAGGGCATGTGTTTTCTACTTAGAAGATGAGAAGATCTACGAGGTGATGCACTCTTGCAATCCGGCATTCAAACAAACCAGAATCTCCACATGGAAGCATGGTACGAGTAAGAACATTAGAAGCATGCATGTGCTTCATATAATGTGCAAACAACTTTGTATCTTGCACCCTCCAATGGACCGTCACAGGGCCCCGGGACAACAACTTGTTGACCGGTTGTCGACAGGTTGCATAGAACCAAAAAATGAGCGCATGTCAAGCATGGATGCGAGCCATTCTGATGTTACCGCCGCAAGATGGAAACGGCGAGAACGTCGTTTCCGGCAACCCTCCTGTCAAACCAGTGGGTGTCCGTCAAAGTATATGGGTGTGCTTGGACAACATGGGGAGAGCCCATGAACCCCCCCCAAACACAGCTGGTGTTAGAGGACAATACAGACGAAACATCCAGATCCAACCTGCTTGGGTCTCTGACGCTGCTGGGGAGTTTCAGCTTGCCCCAATATGGGGCATGGCAAGAAGCAAAGCCGCAAAAAACAGTGCTTGGCTGGTCTGTCTCCCCATTCCCCTTTTTGGCAGGAGGCGCACAAGACTCGGCCAGCGTCGCTAGCTGGTCTGTCTCCCTATTTGAGCTTACAAATCTTGCCCACTTAAATAGCCCCTCCTGCATGGGGGTTCGGTCAGGTTCCGGGGGGTTAAATGGGGACAAAGATGGACAAAGCCAGTAATTTTGGAAACTAGTCTTCATCGGAGGGAGAGATGTTGAACAATCATGAACAAGCATCCAATTGATGTTTGCTGAGGTCACTCTTGGAGCCAGCACGGTGCTTCACATCGTACTTGGCCATATGCATCAAATTCTCTGTGAGATTTGCACCTCAACCAGGTGTCGTGAGGAAACGGCGCGAGCTCAACCCATGCATAAAGCCGGTTCCATGCCGATGGCGATGTGCTTCAAGAATCAATGCTGATTATACGCTCAAAAGGAGTGCATCAGAATTTTCACCGTCCTCCTGGACACTGGGTCGGCCAATGTCCCCTTTTCCACCCTTCCCCCCACCAGCCGGGTGCTGAACGAACGGCACCCGACTGGGAACGAACCAATTTGGATCGGTCGGATCCCATGCGAACCAGGGAACCCATGCGGCTGCCTCTGTCATGAAGCTCCTTGCTCATTTTGTAGGCCTCATCCACTGACCAGTAGCCATCCTTGTTGAGATCCAGCTTGTCTGGAAGCATGGAGAGCGTCAAGAGAGGCTGGGTGCAGTCCTCAAAGCAACCCCACCGACCCCCTTCAGCGTGGCTGGACGAAGGGGTTGGGTGTCACGTCCCAAAACCCACAAGACACTGACGCCGATTTCTCAGAAATGTATGGAGGCGTAGCACAAACAGAATTCCATCTTCTCAGAATTCCACAAAGAACCATACATAGCACATCATAGCACATCAGAGCACCATGCTTAGACCATACATAGCACAATGCTTGGATCAAGAAAGTTAGCACTGATGCTCCAGACGCTCTGCTACGCGCTCCATCTGGGCGAGAGTGTTTAGTAGTTGTCCATTCACACGGAAATGCCAGTTGAACACATCAAACATCTGAAAGAAAGAAGAAATGGGGGGACATGCCCTTGGCATTAGTTCGATGGAAATTCTTTCAAATGCCTCGATTAGGCTCTACCCAATCACTTCCGGTGATCATCAATTGAATTAGCCCCAGATCTTGCAAAGAGAGATCAGGGTTTGTGACTTGCTGAATTCGTCATGAGGAAGGTGCTTCACCTTTGCCACTTGCCTCCCCATTCGGGGACGTTGACTCAACACTCCAGGGTCGTGCCACTCTGCTTTCCACTTCCCTCAAGCCTTGTGGCGTTCATCTCAAAGCACACAAACAAACACAAGGGGACCCTAGCTAGGCAAGGTATCTATGGAAGCAAATGCTTTGTCAGTGGCTGGCCTGGAAAAACCCTGTCAACTCTGTTCACCTCAGGCCGCTGTGGAAACGGCAGGGTTCTTCAGGGTGCTTTACAAAGGAAGCAAAGGGTCTGCCCACATAATCCCACATACCCAGCTCGATCTGCCCAGCTAGCTGCAAACTCTCAATTTTTCTCCTTCCAGGGACTACGGTTTACCCAACAAGTTGATGGTGGACCAAATGAAACAAACCTGCAGCATCAGATCATGATCCTCATGTTGGACATGAAATCCAGAAAGTCCTAACCCGACCATCAACCCGACCATGGACCATCAACGCGCCAAGTTTCAAAGTCTGAAGAATCTTTGAAGTCCTCAGGGTAGAGTAGTCCAACGAACTGCTGCGCAGCTGACACTCTCCTCAATCGAAGTTGCAGCAACGCGAGTCGACTCGCGCGAACGTCTGTCTGAGCAACGGGAAGTCGGAGCATCGGAGCTGTGTGTTAAAGAGGTCTCCCAAACAAGTTCTTCTTGCAAGAGGCACTTGCACCCAAATGAATTGACAGGGATTCAATCTAATGAGTGCTACGATGCTTTAAAACACAACACATCCCAAAGAAATGCGGTAGACACCGAAATTCGTTGGGAGTGTTTGTCACACGTGCTGCAAGAGCAATATATAAATATTAATAAGATTACACAACAAGTATAGGGAGCCTCTGGGCAAGCATTGGTCAGAGGCCAATGATGGCCAAGGAGAGGGTTTTGTATGGAAAATTTGCTCGAAGCGTCCAACAGGCCCCGTTAAATAAGGCGTGGCCCACTTCTCCATAGGTTCTCAGTGCGACCTGGTCGATCTTAAAGGCAATGGCCATTTGCAAGACTGCGTTGAGAAGCAGAAAGAGGCTCACCATCATATAATCCGAGAAGCGTGTTTGGCACGTCCTCTCCTTCTGAAAGCGCTCGTATTTGAAATACATCGGTCCAAAGAGGGCGTCCAGGTAGATATCCGCTTCTGAGGGGTCTAGCCGTCGGAAATGCCATTTCACATCCAGATCGTTTTCAGATGCAGTAGTGACCAGCGAGCTGTATGCTTCATCCACAGGTGCCTGGCCCACAGCCCTGGACAATCGATTCTTCATCGAGCTACGCGTCTGCGCGCCGTGCGAACCCGGCGAGCGCGCCGCGCAGAGCCTCCGCCGGGCACGGAGCGCACTGCCCGTCCTTCTTCGTGAACTTGAGCCGGAGGATGGCGATGGGACAGCCGATGCAAGGAAAAGTGAGAAAAAAGAACCATCAGGGGTGAAAAGCCAATCGTTTTACCGTAGGCCCTAGGATTCCATGCGGATTCCAAGTGCGCGGATTCCATGCGGAGCAGCAGTTTGGTGTTGATAGGAGGTTCTCGCCTGGTTCTCGCCTCGTGAAAGAGCCGAGACGTGCCTGGCGAGCTGTGTGCTGTCACGAGGGCATCGGGACTCGGACGCTACGAACGCTCTCCTGGCCTTACCACTATAGTAGAAAGAAGCTACGAACGGAGGGCATCGATATATACTAGTAACACGAATGCTACTAGTAGCAACTGTTTTGTGTTTTCATGTGTTTTCTTAAATGCCGTTGGCCCTTTGGTTTGGTGTTTCTGCGATCTTTTGCGCACAGAATATCACAGAATGGTTCTTTCGGTGCCTTCGTAAAACCGTTCAACCGTGTGCTGTGTAAGGGTTCCCACCTGTCGACCTGTCTAGAGGGTCTTGAACTGGTTTTTCGATGTAGGCCTCTAGGCATCTGCGAGAATGGGACGTTTTGAGCTTCCAAGTCTTCCAAGTTGGTGAACTCAGAGTAGATCAGCCATGTGCACCTGATGCTCAAAGCCACCTCCAAGCCATGCCATTGATGAACTTGGATCTTCGATTCATATGCTGCAGATCTTCAGTGCCCTGAACACCATGTACAAAGTTTTTTGCGGAAAGATGTCTTTAGAGAAGAGTTGGGTTTCAGGAATTTACGTGCCAAAGTGAGTCGAACTGAACTTTGGTGGGCCCTTCATCCCCTGGTCCTGCGCCTTGTCGCGCACAAAACCCACCGCACGGCCGGGGCGGCTGTGAAGTCGCGGAGTACCATCGCGACGGGAGGAAGAACAGGTTCACCTGGTTCACCGGTTGCCTGGTCTTGTTCCTGGTTCACCTGGCTCGGAGGAAACATCATGGAACATCCCCTTTTTCATGCAGTCCTGCCTTTGGCATCCCTGCCCAACTGGGCAGGTTCGGCGTTTTCGTGCGTGCCTCCAAGGACCGTTTTGGGTGGTGCTGGTGGTACCTGTGGTGAATATATGTCCAGACACTTCATGGGACTGACATGTTTACCTTCATAGGGGTGGTTTCAAGGGTCAATGAATGTATTATAGGCCAATAATCCATACATGGAGTGTCTGGGATGGATTCTTCTTGGTGTATGGACCTGGCAATCTCCTTTCCGGCCCGAGTCCAGTCGTTGCAGTCGCTGCTCGATACAAAACCACACCCTGCGAGGAATTCCCGTTACTGGATTCTGGGGATGACCTAAACCGCTAACTTCTTCGTGGTGTTTCCGTTGAGGACCATGATTCTTGGAAAACCGATTCATCTGAACACCGCATCCGCCGACTGATGTTTCGCAGAGCCAGACCTGCCAGTCCGGAGACATGCAAAGCGGTCTTCAGGACGCATGGGACCGTCTCCAAGACCCACGCTCCACCCACAAACATCAATTCCCCGGGGGTCACAAAGGGGTGGTGTTTAGTCCCTAAGTGATTGGTTAATGGGCACCCCTAACCCCTAACCTCCATGGATAGCACCCCTTTGAAACATCAATTCCAATTGGCTTTTCGTCTGCAAAGTGTGCTTTTTCCGCTTCTTCGAGCTGGATCCCCACGCCGAATCATTCATCCCACTCGCTGACCGAGGACCGGACTCGCTGAACCAATCGGGCTGACCCAAACAACGCGCCTTTCAGGAGGGGCCCAAGTTCTGGAAGAGACCAGAAACCTTCACAATGAACACCTGAGGATCCAAAGACCAACAAGTACAGACGAACGAGGTCGCTTCTTGGTGTACCCAAGAAAAGAACCTGAAAGCCCTCCTCTTCACGTGGAGACCCAGTAAAAAGACTGTATTTGTCAGTTCTTCATTCTTCTCAGAAGAAACCATACCAGTTTTGAAGTGGGTGGGTTGCCGCAGATACGTGGTCATCCGATTTTGGTCGGATGTCCGATCACTCCCTTGGTCCGGCGATGGAACACGGGGAATGGGCGGTGTCCTCCTACAAAAGCTATTTATACCTTGATCTATTTTCTAAAGCTAACGTATAATACCTAACTAAACAGTTAAAAGCTATTTATATCTTGGTCTTTAGTCTAAAGCTCCTTTTAACTAAACACGCAAATGCCGCTCTCTGAGTCTAGTCCGTTGGGAGTCGCATCCGACAGTCGTCGTCACTGGTGCTGTAGAACATGCTGTCTTCTGGAAAGCGCTGGGAATAGATCGGGAACCCGCATGCTGAACTTGGACACTCCTTTTTGGGACTGCGATCATCACGAGATTCACGGTGGAGCTCAATCACACCCTTGTATCAACAAAGGGTGAGGGGCATCCAGGGCGGCATCCAGGGCAGCATCCAGGTATCATCAGGAGCGCTGTGTTCCCACAAACGTTGCAGCCGCTCGTCGAAACTTCGATGGTCGAGTAAGCACACTTGGGATGCCGCCCAGGGAATGAAACGTACAGAGCCTGCAGAAACGCACTGCGGGGGCTAACAAACAGAACGGTAGCTGATTGGGTCAGTTTATTCTACCTCAATTGATTTAGTGAGAAAGCGTTCACGCATACAAAATCATACAAATGCATACATCAAATGACATCAAACACATGGGCTCCAGGTGTGGAAAAGTGACCTTGACAGCTGTCTCATCACCCAGTTGTCTCATCACTTTGGGGGTTCCGCCCAGCTTCCCTACCAGCAGATTTTGAGCTCCGAATGCTTTGACGGCAAATCGATTAGGACAACAAGCTGGTAGCAAGGCTAGGGAGAACCAGCAAGCCTCCTGAATTTCCGGAGTTCAACAAGCATCGAAACCCACTGCATCAGGCAAAACCACAAAACCACTGCAGATACATGGATTTCAACTCTGGATCCAACTCTGGCATGACACAGTAAAAAACATGTAAAAAGCGTTTGGGAAACGGACTAGCAACGGGTGTTCCATGTGAGCTTTCCTCTCCAACCACTGTCCTTGATGCTTGGTGGGTCGTTTGTTGACACCACTCCCAGAGTCTCACACGCCGTGGGCGTGGCCATCATCTTAATTTCAGTCGCTGGAGCTTCCTCTCGCTCTCCTGGCCGTATTTGATGTGTGGCGACGGCGAGGGGACGGCGGCGGTTGATCACACGGGTCAAACAGATAAAGATCAACCTACACTCCGACGAACACATCACATGGAAGTGGAAAACCCCCGGTTTGCAAAGGAAAGTAGTCTTCAAAAGGACCCCAGACGTTCATTCGACGCCGTATTCCACAGTCGCTCGCTGAATCCAGCATCGTCTGTTTTTTTACATCTTCAGCGAATGCTCCCGTTTCAGACCAATTTTCTTGATCTTCTTACCTGCTCCTTTGAGCCTCAGAAGGGACCTGTTCAACACGCTTCGGCTCAAGGTGAACTTGTGAGCATAGCGGCATAGTCCTTGGCCACCAGCATGAAGCACTAGAAAAAAACTAAAGTTGCATCTGGTGTGATATAAAAACTGCAAAATTCACACCTACAGAATTCAAGGGCACCCTGTTGATATCCAAGGTTCCCTTGATGTACTTCATCATATCTTCATCTGCCATACAATGTTCAAAACGGCAATTGTACCCTCAGGTATCAGGCTAGCCCAGCGGAGCTGGGCTTGACATTTTCTTTCCACTTCAGGAGGTTTCATGCTTAGACCATAAGCCAAGGCACTGAATTGTTCCATCTCCAGCAACTGGTGGTGCAGTCCCTTGGGCTAGCTTTAAGGAGCAGATCTAGGAAACACGATTTTTCAAAACTTTCAGATCTAAATCTAAACTTTCTGCCCAACTGGTGTGCAGCTGGAGCACATGGCATTTGGGGATGATTACCCAGCGAAGCACTCCTCGCCTGACAAAGGCAGGAGTGGGCAGGGAGTGAGAGAGAGAGAGAGATTTGTACTCAACATCTATCTAGCCTCAAAGTCTTGTGTGCCAAAGCTTTCCATAGATTGAGGTATGCGTAGCCATGCTTCTTGATAATGCCAGCTTCATTTTCGCTCCTCAACAACTAAACTGTCGCGTGTGGAATGCAGTGTCCCAAGAACCTTGAAAATTGAAGCTTGCCAACAACAAATCTCTCCATATATATATATATTGATTAGTGATATGAATTTGGGACTTAGGAGTGGGCAAATAGCGACCGGCTTTCTCAATCTCCAAGATCATATTGTTTCCAGCCACCCTAGGGATGTGGAATTTCTACACAAGGCACTGTTGGGCTAGCTAAACATCTATGCACACTTGGCAAAGTGATCTACCAATCAAAGCTGCACATTTATATAGTGTTGAGGGCCTGGCAAACAACCAGACATCAAGATATTCTCCTCCGTAGGACTGACCTGTGCTAGGTCTGATGCACACTGTGCCAACCACGCCGCGATGACCCTGCCGTTGTACATCTTACACGTCATCCACGGTTCATAGCCTTGGTTCAAAACCTGGGGCGGTGGAGGCAGTACAAAAGCATGGGCATATGTACACTCTCAAAGCAATTCATACGCATATGCAGTATCTAGCGTTCATTTGTTTGGTGCAACTGAGTTACAAGTCCTGGTGTGAAGCATTGCTGACTGCATGTGATTCTGTGCTGTTTCTTCCATGCTTGGAAGTGCTGAAATGCAAACTTCAGTGCAGTACCAAATGATGTCGTTGCCTGGCACCAAAAACCAGCCTCCCATAACGCCAGCCTGAATGTAATATTCAGTGCATTCAATTCCAGCTAGGCTGCTGCACTATATGCTGCACTGGAAATCTAAAGGCGCACAGGTGACAGGTAAAGTTAAAAAAGGAATGCATCCTAGCAACATGGCTCCAGCATTGGTACGCTGGAATGTTCCG